ATCACTTTTTTTTTTTTTTTCATTTTACTTTCTTAATCTGACATATTTACGGGGGGGAAACGGTTGAGATTTTATCCATAGAAGTTGATTGGATTGTAAAAGGTGGGTGTTATATACCAGAATTATTATTTTTTGGAATAATGCATACTAAATCATGGACAAAAGGATCAGGAACGTGTATTAAGAAAGTAAATAGGGTTAATTTATGCTTACTTGACACGAAACAGCTACATTATGAATAAAAAAGACCAGGAACGCGTACTTACTTACTATTAAGTAAATAGGGTCAGTTTCAATTTCACTTTATGATTATTTGACAGCTTCTAATTTAAAATCACTTAACGTTAAGAGGAAAATATGATCCAATAATGTACAGAAGAGTGAAGAGGAAAGGTAAGACTGCAGTGTTGCTGTAGTGTTGCACAGTCTCTATCTATCAGAGCAACTCGCAAAGTCAGCGCTCCCCAAAATCCATCCTGAAAGAACGAGAGGAGAGAGATTGTGTGCGAACCCTGAGGAAAGGAAGTGAAAAATTGGGTGGAAAGAAAGAGAAAAGGAAGAGATAAGACGGTGAGATTTGGTTTCTGCTGTCTCTCTCAGTCCTGCAGGGTTAATCGACAGACTATTAGCTCAGCGTAAGCTCCGAGTTAGCCAACCCACTGCAGACTGTCTGATGCACTCCAGGGGCAAATAAATGTCTCCCAAATCAAAATAGTGCATTTTTTAATTGGCAGTGACATGACTGCAAGATAAGATGTTTTACAGACAAGCCAGTTAAAGGAACAGATTACCTAAAAAGGAGAATTGCCATTTTCTCACCCTCACGTTGTGCACGACTTACTTTCTTTTGTTGCAGAAGAAAGGAGATATTTAGAAGAATGTTTGAGCTGCTGTTTTGAAGGTGATTTTTATTGTCAGGCTCCAAAAAGGACAAAACTGTTGGAGCTCATTTTCGCTTCTAATAAGCTTCTAAATAAGAAAGCTAATTGCACCTTCATATCTTTATAAGAGAAAAACATCAGAATTGCAAGATGTAAACTTAGAATTTAGAAAAAAGTCAAAATTGTGACGTGAACTCAGAATTAAGAGAAAAAAAATCAGAACGGCAAGATTTAAAAAAACATCATAATTGCCAAATTTAAACTGTTTCTGATGTTTAAAAAACAAGAATAGCAAGATTTAAATTCAGAGAAAAACGTCATAATTGCCAAATTTAAACTGTTTCTGATGTTTAAAAAACAAGAATTGCAAGATTTAAACTCAGAATTCAGAGAAAAACATAATAATTGCCAAATTTAAACTGCTTCTGATGTTTAAAAAACAAGAATCGCAAGATTTAAACTCAGAAGTAAAACATCATAATTGCGAGGAAATCATGTATGTTTGCACTGTCTGTACTTTCTTCTGCACTGGAAGCTCTTGTCGCCAAGTCAAATTCCTTGTGTGTGTAAACATACTTGGTAATAAAGCTCTTCTGATTCTGTTTCTGAAATAAAAAGTCGGAATTGTGAAATAAAAGGTCACAATTACTTTTTTTTTTATTACGTGGAGGAAACATGCTTCCATACAAAACAGCTCCATAACAGCACTAGAAATGTAGAAAAAGGCATACAGGTTTGAATCAACATGAGGGTGAGTAAATGACAGATTTTGTCTGCGGCTGGATGGATTCCTGTCCGTGTGTTGTTGACTGAGAGGATTGAACAGACAATCACCGTGGCAACCGTGGAATGAGGCAAGCAACCCCTCTATAGCAACCAGTGGAGTCTGTGATACCTGTATTCCCACGCATCTATAAACTGCGGCTGCTCACTTGATTCGATTGAATTCATCTGAATAACTGGAAGGTTTGTGGTTATGTTCGCAATGGAATACTAGCATGCATACGCCGTTCCTGTAGCTCATACAGCACAGCGCTACAAACACCAAGATCATGGGTTTGATTCCCCTGGGAAAGCAGGAAATGGTAACAAAATGTACAATTATTTGGATAAAAGTGTCTGTCAGAAGCATAAATGTAGTGGTATACTGTATGCTGACTATACGTATGCATTATCTAAATGCACTATCCGAATTTGAATCTCAATCAAGAAAACTGGTCTAAAAATGATTCAAAGAATCACAGCTGATAAAACTTGTTTATTAGTCAAGATGAGTGCATTACATAACATTGGATACTGTAAATAATACAAAACTCTCGCTGCAATATTTTAGTATTGTTTATATATAGTATTTAGTAATTTTATGTGATTTTTTTATATTTCTATTCAGCTTGAATTTTTATTTGATTTTTAGTACTTCAGCTGATAATTAAATGTTTTTTTGTTTTTTTTCAGTTAGTTGCCAATGCAATATTCCTTAAAAAACTTTTATTTATTTTTTTAATCTATTTTATTTTTTAAATTTTTTTATTTTTGGTTTTATTTTCTATTTGACTATTATTTTTCAATTTTTTTTCCATTTTAGTTTAGTTTTTGTCATTTTAGTACGTCAATAAAGCCAATATAATGGCTTTAATTTATTTTTTATTTTAGTTTGAGTCACTATATTACTTCAGTTTATAATTAAATTAAATTAAACTTTGATTTTTCATTGTTTTAGTGTTAGTTATACAGCACTACTTATGCTACTATAGTCATGTCAGTCTTTATGCTCCACAGAAACCTTATGAATTCACTTATGAATGCACTTTAAACAGTGTTAAACCAGTGTTTTATGGTGAATGGCACATCTGTAAGTGAGCTGGAACTTGATAGTACTTGCTCTATTTGCTTTAAACTAGATATACTAACTAAATTACCCATTTGTTTTGTTGCAGCTATAGTGAGTGATTAAAAACGCTGCTAAGCCAGCAGTACTGTACAAGCCAGAGTTTGTTCTCCAAAGGCACTTACACATTAGTTTTCTTCTAATACCCTTCTGGAAGGGCCTCTAATCTTCCCTCGACTGTGTGTGCGTTCAGACAGCTGTCTTGATTAGCGCAGACAGCAGATCAGTCTCGTCTGTGTGCTCACTGCAGTCTCAGCCGCAACAGGACACAGTTCCCAGTCATCAGTCAATGCCCAACAGCTCCGGCTTTGTTCCCAGGCAAAGATCTGGCTAATTTGGCACAGCACCGAGTGCGGCAGGCCGTCATCTCCCAGAAAGAGAGTCTTCACTTGGGCTTAATGGGAGGTCTGTGCCATGAATCGGACAACAGACTGTGTGGACGCTCGCTCTGCTGACCATTTTGGCTCAGTGAGGGCAAACACAGAAGGCTGTTAAGATGCAGTGTTTGAAGGGATTATTTATTCTTGAAAGGTCAAATTGTTTGTTGGCCCTGAGTGAGAGATGTTGGAACTGGGAGTGTTTGTGTGTCATTTTCTGGGCCTCTTTCAGCGGTTGGTTTGTGTCTCGGGGGTGTTGGAGGACTTTGCTGTAGAAGTTTAATAAGGTGGATGAAATCGTGCTTGTAGAGACGCTCTCAGCGCTGCGTTCGCTGAGTGTCCTTAAACAGACTGAGCGCTGTGGGAAGCAGTGAGGTGGAAAAATTATTCAGCCTGATATTCTAAGCCGAGTTAGTGCTGCTGTTGCGTGCTTTTGAGCTTAGCTTGCTCATTTGTTAGTGAATCATCTACATACACTACCAGTCAAAAATATGTTTGAAAAAAGTCTCTTATGCTCACCAAGGCAGCATTTATTTGACTAAAAAATACAGTAAAATCAGTGATATTGTGAAATATTACAATTTAAAATGACTGATTTCTATTTGAATATAATTTAAAATTTAATTTATTCCTGTGATGCAAAGCTGAATTTGCAGCATCATTACATTTTGATACTTTTGTCTTTGATGAATATAAAGTTCAAAAGAACAGCATTTATTTGAAATATAATTTTTTTTTGTAACATTATAAATGTCTACCGTCACGTTTGATGAGTTTAATGATCCCAAATTTATGAATGATACTGTATCATGATACCGTTTCCACAAAAATATGACAACAGCACAACAGCTTTCAACATCGATAATATTCAGAAATGTTTCTTGAGCAGCAAATCAGTATATTATAATTATTTCTGAAGAATCATGTGACACTGAAGACTGGAGTAATGATGCTGAAAATTCAGCTTTGATCACAGCAATAAATTACATTTTACAATATATTCACATAGAAAACAGTTATTTTAAATTGTAATAATATTTCACAATTGTACTGTCTTTACTGTATTTTCAATCAAATAAATGCAGCCTTGGTGAGCATAAGAGACTTCTTTCAAAAACATAAAAAATCTGAACTATTCCAGACTTTTGAATGATAATGTATATTCCAAATTATTTTATCAGAGAAAAATACAAGACCTTCCAGCGCAGTGCCACAGAAATAGCTTGCTTGTTTTTGCGGTTGCAGCTAGTTTAAGAACTCAAATTAGAAAGATTTCGGCTTTTTGAAGCCTTCCTTCATTTTCTATCATCAACCTCAATAGGTGGGTAAATTTAGCTACATTTTCACATACTGTGAATTTGGTTGCTCCTCCGTTGGTGGCATAGTTAATGTCTCTCTGCCCTTCCCCAGACAATATTTTAAATCAAAATCTGAATATGAACGTGATCGCAGATGGTGTATCTTCCTGTTTATCACCCTGTCCCTGAGCACACTTATATCTCATACTTCATATTAAGCAGTGTTCATTTAGTATTATTTATATACTATTACAGTATTTATTAATATTTAGTTTTAGCGTTTATTTTTATATTTGAAGTTTTCATTTTAGTTTTAGTAATTATATGCTTTAGACATATTATGACAAAAAATGCTAAAAGTATAGTCATTTTATATATATATATATATAAAAAAAAAATCTTTTTCTTTTTAATTCCGTTTACTCATTTTAGTATTTCAACATATTTAGGTTAGTTGCCAAGGCTACATTTAAAATTTTCATGTAATATATATATTTTAATTTTAACTTTTATTTCATTTAACACATTTTTAATAGTTTTAGCTTTAGTGTATTTATTTATATATATATATATATATATATATACTTTTGACTTGATAATCTCAAATTCATGCGTCTTTTAACAGACTATCACAGTAACAATGAGGAAAGACTGCCTCCTGCTGGCCATTATATGTATGACAAAAGGAGGAAGGCAAAGGGCACACTTACTGTAGTCTTTCTATCGCTAAACATTTAGTGTGGACCCATTAGAAAGGTTGCACTGGAAATGACAATGCACTGATTATTCTTTCTTTTCTCTTCTTTTATCCACTCACCTGTCCTAACTTGCTTGCATTTTATCCTCAGTCCATCCTTTCCTGACCTCTTCTTATTATGCTGAGGTTATAATAGCCCAGCGCATTTCCCGCTATAAGTAAATATAGTTATAGCACACTTAGTTGTAAAGTAAGCAAATAGGATTTTAATTCTGTTTAGGATAATGATTAAGTATTTAATTGATTTTATACTATTGTATGAGTCAGGTTTCATAAAGGAAGGAAATATATTTTTAGTCCAATTTCCTTTTCTGCCTCATGGCCTCAGATTGTCCTAGCATTGCCAGTCTTTTTTTTTTTTTGTACCGGCATGTTGACTATCAGCCCTGAGTGGTCCTACATGCCCCCCCCTTTACCCTGAGATCTGATCCTGTCTAAGGTGAACACTTCATGGCGACGATGACCCTAGAAACCAGGGGAAGCACAGGTGACCTCTGAGCCTAAATCATCTCCCAGCTAAAGCACAACACCTCAGTACTGAAGAGCTCTGACCAAGGTACGAGTCTAATTGTAATTTCATAGTAAAGCTGGTCGGAAGGATGCAAGTAATGCAAATAACAGCCAGTATATGTACACCGAATAAACAATGTAATCTATATATGGTAAATAAAAAATGAAGTAGTTACAATCTCCTATGTAAACAAACTTATGGCAATATATTCGAAAAATATTTTAGTGTGAATCTCATTAAAACATGCACAGATCACATTTCACCGCAAAATGTAAAAATAAAAATGCATTTTGCAAAAAGAAAATCAAGCTTCTTTTTATGACTATTATTATGTTTTTACACTACATTTATGCCAATTTAGCATAATTTACCCCAAAATTACCAAAATGCATCCTCATTGCAATATATATATAATTAATAATAATTTATGCATTTAGCAGACGCTTTTATCCAAAGTGACTTACATTGCATTCAGGCTATACATTTTTTTTTTCCATTGGCGCTTTATTTTTAAATTCACATAAGTGCAATATAGTAATTTAATTTAAACATTTAATACATTTTCATTTATAAATGTTTTATTTAACAGTAAGTTGATTAGCAAGTTTAATAATAAATATAGTAAATAATAAATATAGTAAATACATATTTAATGCAATTAGCAATTTAAGTAATTCATAATATATGAAATATTTTTTTTTAAATGTATTTTTGGTGCATTACAGTAATGAGAATTTTTCTGTAAGCAAAATATAATTTATAATTTATAATTTCTTTGTTTTTATTTTGAGGTGAAATACGACTGGTACATGTTTTCGACAGGTTTCATGAGATGCACCCTTTAGCTAATGTGTAGTTTGGGTCAGTTTTAGAGAGAAAATTAGAAATAATCTTAGCAGACTGTACTTTCTGTAAAGAAAATCCAACTAGAAAATATCTGTAGCACAACTACAAACAAAAAATTCCTTCAGAGTTAAATAGTAAAAATCTTGACGCTACTGGCAAATAATTGGTAAATATTTATCAAGTATAAGATAGATATTTTATATAAGATTAACTTTTGTATTTTTATACTAAAAAGGGAGAATGTGTTAACATTAGATAGCATGCCTTATCCAAATTCACATTGTATGACTTGTTGAAATGAAGAATGAAGCCTGGGATCTGTTATGTGAATGCAATCAGTTTTCGATGTGTTTCCCCCAGTGGATCTGAAGTGTGAGAGCGGCTTTCATTTCAAAGCATATATTTTGTTACGTAACATTTGACAGCACATTACACCATACGTGTGAAGCACTTTGTGTCACTGGGACGTATTAGCAACGTATGATAAACTACCAGTTGGCGGTGAATAATAAATTGCTATCGACTGTTTAGATCAATATTCTCATTCATATTTAATGGATGCCCAAGGGATTGTAAACAACTGCCCCACTGCCATTGTTTTCCCATTTTCTGCTAAGAAATATATATAGCTACAGTATATATAAGACGTCCATCAGATGCCTGATACATACCTCATAACTTTCTTTTTCGTGTCTTAAAATGACTTCATTGAAGTAGAATAGACCCAAACTCTGATGCGACACACATCCGAGCACCATATGCTGTGTTAAAACACTGAGAAACGTCCAAAATATATGAACAGAAGAACTGTGTAACTGTATATAAACTGTATGATCATGGATATGTTCATTTAGGGTATTTTTTGTAAGCTTTTTTTTTTTTTCTACCAAAAGCGTTTGAGAGATCTGAACTGCACGTAGATATCCTCTCAAAGTCTGCATGCAGAATCCTCTCTCTGTAAGTTCTGTTTACAAGTGTAAGATAGATGGATTTCTGTATTAATAAAGAGGTTTTTTTTTATAAATATAGTTGTATGTGAGTAGACGGGTCAATCGGATCCTATTCACTGTTGTCTGATCTGTAACAAACCATTCAAGCATTCCAAACCTCTCAATTTAACATGTCCAAAAAAGAAAAAAAAAACATTTTTCATTAATGCAACATATAGAATGTATATAAATCTATCGACGACTTCTTGTGATAAAACAATAACAGTGTGAATGCAATGTTGACCAATAGAAATATATCTATATGGAAATGTTATAATGCAAAAGTTGTTTTAATGTTGAAAAACCTCGTCTGGTTGTGTATGTACAAGAGACTGTTGGTTTTGAATGTTCTTGTGCTGTTTTTGTGACTATTAAAGTGAATATCTTCTATTACAGTCTTGTGCGCTAATTGCGGTGCTTTTTTTGTAAATGCCAATTTTTCATCCAGTATAAAATCTTTATTATGTCATACACAGAAAGAAAAAACGGATTCATATGAAAAAAATAAATATACACATACTAGACAAAGCTAGTTTTCAGTAGTTGGTGTAAGTGTACGGTCAGCATTTCAAGAATACATGTAAAGATCAATATAAAGTGACAAAATGTAGCTGAAAATCCAGTTGTTAAAGGGTTAATCTCACAAAATCTGTCAGGAATATGCTTTATTTCACCCCATAATCAGAAGAAACCACCAATTTTTATAAATGTCAAATTCTTCATTTTTTATATATATATATATATATATAATTTTATTTTATTTTTGGTGCAAAATATGAAATATACAAGCACATGTTCAAATTCTTCACATTTCGTAATTGTTTCTTTTAATTTTGGGGCAAAATATGAAATGTATAAGCACGTTCAAATTCTTCAAATTTCTTAAATATTTTGTATACATTTTGGGGCGAAATACGAAATATTCAAGCACATGTTCAGATTCTTCAAATTTATTTATTTTTTCTTCTTTTAATTTTGGGACAAAGTATGAAATATACAAGCACATTCAAATTCTTCACATTTCTTTTAAAATTTTGGGGCAAAATATGAAATATATGAGCACATGTTAAAATTTTTCAAATTTCTTATTTTTTTCCCCTTTAATTTTGATGCGACGTATGAAATATACAAGCATGTTCAAATTCTTCAAATTTCCGATTTTTTTTCTTTTAATTTTAGGACTAAATATGAAATACTTAAGCATGTTCAAAATCTTAATTTCTTTTAATTTTAGGGCTAAATATGAAATACTTAAGCATGTTCAAATTCTTAATTTTTTTTTATTTTTTATTTTTTTCTGAGTTAAATATTATATATACAAGTACATGTTCAAATGTTTCACATTTCTTTTTTTTTCCTTTTAATTTTGGGGCAAATTTTGAAAGCACATTTAAATTCTTCACATTTCTTAATTTTATTCTTGCAATTTTGGGGCGATATATATAAAATATACAAGCACGTTTTTGACAGGTTTCTTGAGATTCACCAAGTTGTTTGTTATATTGTACATAAATAGTTGAACTTTTATCATTTAGATATACAAATAGCTTAATGTAGCTGTTTAAATGTTTGTAAACAGTTTTTGGCTTCATGTGTGGTGTGGCTTCGTCGTGGGATGCTTTGAGCTGTGTGTGTTTCACAGAGAGATGTCAGACGACACGGGAAGCTGCTGAGCTGGTTTCCATTTGGCGCTTCGTCTTCCTCCGTCTGCTCTGATGTACGGCTGCTTCCTCAAATCTACACACACACACACACGGTCAGACCCCCCCTGATGAAGATACCTGGAGATTTGTGAGCTTTTCAAAAACTTGAAAGAAAGGGAAGCATCAGAGATCTACACGGAGGAACTGAGGGAGTGTTACAGAAGAGCATAAGTAGATGAAGAGCGATACCTTCAGAGACAGAGGAGAGGAAATGAGAGACGGTTATAAAGAAGTGCCTTCGCAGAAACCTGAATCACAGAACAGACGAGACGAGCGCTTCCCAGAACGGGCCGTAAACGGTACCGCCTGCAGAGCTGACAACCAGACACATAGAGACGTTAGAGGAACGCAGAAATAAGACCGGCAGACTAAATACACAATATAGTATGAATATCAAAAGGAACAAAAAAATAGTGACTGAAATAACTGACAAAATAATTGAAGAAAGAATTGGAATAGGCAAAGAATCCCAAGATGCATAGTGTTCTGGCCAAACTGAATTTTATATGAATGTACAGTTAGGCTAATGGGCTATAAATAAATGTCAATGTGTGTGTGTGTGTATATACATATATATATATATAGTATATGAATATTATATTTTTACATTTCTAACATTTTTTCTAATATTTTTAGAGATATTTTTAATATTTGTATAGTATAAATGGGTCTTTATACAAAAGAAAATAAATACAGTATATTTATGATATATATTAATAGATTATAAATACATTTATTTATTTTTAGAGTATAAATGAGTCTTTATACAAATGTATATTATATAAATGGTTCAATATATAGTTTATAAATACTATATATTTACATTTATAATGTTTAAAAAATGATAAATTATAAATAAAAACATTTATAATATAAATAAGTCTATATTTCATATATACTATATTTACATTTTTAATATTTAACATTTGTATAGTATAAATGGGTCTTTATACTAATATTTGTCAATACTTTTGTATAAATTATTTTTCAATATATTTATATTATATATTATGTATAAATATCCATTTATGTTATTATAAATGTGTATAAAATATTATCTAAATGTTATTTTTCTTTTAAGTTGACAGCATCTTTTTCTACTCCCCTTTAGAGTACATTAAACTATGGCTGTCAATAGAAAGCAGAATATCAAATTTAGTCAATTGTAATTATTGTATTTTTATTTTATTTTTCCCTGAACATTTGGCATAGAGGTAGGCGTTGGGTTTCATTTGCACCATTTATAATACAACCCCTAACAATGGTAAAATCACTATCACTAAAATCAAGTTTATTGTAATATTCAAAGTTAAGGCACTGGTTTTCTGTAAAGAACCTGTGATGATGTCCTCGATGGCTCCGTCTTTGCCCTCTCTCACGAGCGGCGTCATCTGCCTGCGCTTCAGCTCTGCGATCAGATCCAGCCGAGGGAAGCGTGGCAGCGCCGGCATCTGAACACATCAACAAACCCGTGAGTCCTTCATATTCACTTCCTGTTCTCCACTATTTCTGTCTCTGTCTATCACGCATTCCTTCATTACTCACTGCTGTGCTCATGGGAGGGTCAGAGATGGGTAAATCTGTGCTGAAATCGGTCTCTGAGATTTTCTTCTTGTGCTGTTTGTTCTCCTGCTCGGCCAGCTACAGAGAAAGAGATTCATCCGTCAGTCAGCATGCCAGAGGAAAGACTGGGGGAAAATGATTTGTACAAAGCAGCGTGCCAAGTTGCATACTATCTGTACTAGATGAGGAGAATAGGATTGGTGTTAAACATAGTGTGATAGAGATGTCTGGGTTGGATCTTTATGGGGATTCTAGAAGTAACCCCTTTCAGTCGTTTTAATATTATTTATATATATTTATAGTATTTATTAATATTTTTAATTAGCTTTTATTTTCAGTTTTCATTTTAATTTTTAAAGTTGTCTCTTTGCCTGTTTTTGTCTATTTTATTTTTTATAATTTATTTATACTTTATATACTGTATATAAAAAAGTATGTTTATTGGAGTTTTAGTAATTTTATTACTTAAACTTATTTATTTCAGTTAGTTTCCAAAGCAGCATTTGTAATTTTCTCATTTTAAGCTTGTTTTTCATCTGATATTTAGATTTTATTTGGAAGTTTTAATCATTTTCTTATGTGCTTTTGTCATTATTATTATTATTTAAATATTTATTATTTGTTTTATTTCAACTTTATTGTGATTACTGAACATTTTTTAAAATAGTTTTTGTTTTAGTTATCAATAACAACCCTGGCTAACGTTGGGCTAAATATATACAGATTATTAATTATTAAGACCATTAATTTGTATATTGTCAAAACTAGTACTTTTAAACCAAAACCAGTACAATTAAAATAATATTCAATCTGAATGCACTATATGGTGTCATATGGGGTTTTGAAACCGATATAATTAATTTATCAGATAATTTCACTATTTCATGTCAGGCTTATTCACTGTAAAAAAATATATATTTTTTAAAAGTTGTAAATAAAACAAACATTATTGGAGTATATTTTATAATGCCATTTCCACTTAAAGATTTAATTCAATGTGTTACTTGCCGTTTCTTTGTAATTATTTGTGAAATTTTCTAGCAATTTCCAGTATGCAATACCAGTATGATATATGCTGATGTGATATGAGCACTGGGTAATAATTTCATCACCTTATATGCTTTGATAAACCTGGCAAAAACAGGGAAGAACACAGAAGGAGGTGTGGATTTGGGATCCTCTCCGAAATACTCCACCACTGAGTGATAGACCTCCTGTAGAGACACACAGACGATCCAGTCACGTAGAAGCTATTATTCACTGCTGTTCAGAAAGGATTTCACACAGAACTGAACTCATCTCCACCTCTGCAGTTTTGCTGTCTTTGACCACAGAGTCCAGCAGACTGCTGTTATTAGACATGAAGTTTGTGAGGACAGCGCTGTCCTTCTGCTGGAGAAACTCCTTACGCACCACCGCCATTCCCTTCTCCAGAGATCGAACATCTGCAAGGATGCTGTCCAGAGAGACTGAGAGAAACATGCAGGTCAGTGTATAAATATATAGCTTTCATTTAGCAGATGCTTTCAGCAAACTGAGATTTGAACTTACAACCTTTAGGTTACCAGTCTGGAATTTTTTAGCTTCAAAGTTGGTTTTGATTTTTCAGTTTTGATTGCCTTTGTTTAGATTTTGATAATTGCAAATATTCCTTTATGCGCTTTAATTGTACTTTATCGTAGATAAAACGTGCACTCTAAAAAATGCTGGGTTAACTATAACCCAGCGCTGGGTTAAAGAGGGACAAACTCAGCTATTGGGTTGTTTTGAACCTAACCACTGGGTCAAAACAACCCAACCACTGGGTCAAAACAACCCAACCGCTGGGTCAAAACAACCCAATAGCTGGGTTTGTACAACCCTAGTGGTGAGTTGATGAGAGTTCATGTGCAACACTCACCCAGTGCAGCTTTATCCAGACAGTGTAGTTCAGTGTGAAAGTTGTGCAGTTGAGGATATTTTTCTTGTATGATGCTGACGATGAAATGCAGGAGTGTCAGTTTTCGATCTGTGGATTTCATGTCCAGAAGCTGAGAGCGAAAATGTGAGAGATGTGCGATAAATCAACAAAACGTTTATCATGAACTGATCAAATATATACCTTTAGTGCAATGTAAGTCATAAAAGTGTCTGCCAAATGCATAAAGGTAAATATTTCATAGTTTACTTCAAATATGCTATTCAATTAAACTGAATAAGTTTACATGACATACATGTCCAAAAATACAATTAAACAATAGCAAATGAGGCATGCATTTATTTTACCTTATACAGTATATATGACAAAAAAATGAGCTAAACTAAAAATGAAATTTTTAGATTAAAAAAACTAAAAATTAATGGACAAGAAAATTTTCAATTTTTTCTGCTTCAAAATATCGTAATGTGTTACTTGCAGTTTCTTAGGGTTTTCAAAGTAAATCCTACCACATTTTTTTCAGTGTATAAACACAATACGTGAACCATCTATTGAAAAGAAAGTGTCCAGTGACACTGATCAACTAAAACTGTAAATCTGCTTTATATGCCAAAATCTCATTTTTGTAAAGATGTTTTCCCTCACCAGGTCCAGACTTTGGAGTCGAAATCCATATGCTGATCCTCTCTTCCCACTGTTCATGTAATTCCCAAACGCAAGAATGATCTAGAAAAAGAGAAAGATCAGCTTTCACTACATAAATGATTCTATGCACATGAAAATTGATTCTCCTTACCTCTAGAATCTTCTTGAGTTTGCTGGAGGATTTGATTGACATGGACGCAGTGATGATGGCATTTAATTGCTGCAAAATAAGATCAAGATTTTTTTTTCATTCGATTTTAATTTGATGTTAAATTCAAGTAAATGCATCCTCGGACATACTGACAGGCTTTAATAGCAGGATGCTCTCGCTGAAGTTGCCCATGAAGGTCAGCGTGCTGATTCTCTGTGCCAGACGCGGGGTTTTGCTGAAGGCCACCATGAATCGGTCCTCCTCCGACAGCTCCAGCAGGGGACGTCCTTCACGCTCGTAATTCTCAATCAACTTCAGCTCATAATCAGATGGGATGAAGCGCTCCAGCAGCTCCAGAAAATCTGACTTTAGCATATCAAGATTATACCTGCACAAAGAGAGTATCAGGATTAGTTTTATACATGCAAATTTTGGTTACAACAACAATGTGGCTGCTGGACGCACGTTTGGATCGCAGTGCAGATCTGTGCGGTGCTCATGCCTCCCTTGCGCAGGGTGATGGCGAGGTTTTTGGCCCTGTTGGGCTCCAGTAGTGCGATTTTACTGGATGCTTTATGAGCCACTTTCAACTTCAGAGTGCCGACATCAACAGGAGCAGACTCAGCTTTAGTTTTGAACAACTCCTCAAAGACGTCCATATTCAACTCCTTCATACAGAGCAAAACAGGGAGGTGAGTGACGGCAGCTTTAGTCCTTCAAGGAAATTCTAGTGATAAATGCTGAGCTAATTCTAACAGCTTAAGACTATTTCTAAAACATGCAAGTACCTATAATAGCATGTATAAATATTAAAAACAAGATTTATATTTCTTTTTTTAAACATTGTGTATATATAAATATTTTATAAATTCTTAAAAATATATATATTTCAAGAACAAAAGGGCAAAAATGCATGGATATTAAAAACTAAATTCTATTTTATTTTCTAAAAATATGTAATATTTTAATATTAATAATCAAGAAGGAAAAAGCAGCAAGCAGGAAATGTTTTTAATGTTGTGAAGTTTTTAGTTAGCTGTTGTAATTTTATTGTGCTTTTTGTCATTTTTATTGGTTGTGTTTTTTCAAATTCTATATAGTTATTTTTTTATTTCAGTTTTAGTTTTAGTTATTTTAGTACATCAAGTTAAACTAAATGAAAATGAGAAATGTTAACAGATTACACTCTGAAAATTATACAAAATTATATAGAAAAATTATAAAAAAAATAAAAAAGTATAATTAGAATTAAATAGAAATGATATAGAAATTGATGTAAGTGATGATATAATTATAACACTGGTTGTATGTATATTTGGATCTTCACCTGTTGTGTCAGCGGCTGGTATAATGTGTAAATCCAGAGAGCCGGATTCGGATCTCTCCATGCGGATCAGACCTCGATCCACCAGAACCTGGACCATCTTCTCCAGCTCGGTCAGAGCTTTAGCAGAGCGCTGTCTCTCTCTCTCTCGCTCCTGCTCCTTCTCACTGTGTGTGTCTCTCTCGTTCTCCTTCTGCTGCAGCTGAGAGAGCTGAGCCTGTGCCTCCTTCACACCGTCCTGAAAACACACACAAACAGACACAGCCAGGCTTCACAGGCTGGAAACAGGAGTATGTAAGTAAGTGTTTGTGTGTGTGTGTGTGTTTTAGCAAATTGTGCTACCTTCAGAAGTTCCACCTCTTTCCTACTCTGTATGAGCTGTTTCTCAAGTGCAGACGTCTTCGCCACAGCTTCACTCTCACACTGCTGCAGTCTAGTGCTTAACTGATATACACAACATACTGAGTACTTAAATATGATTTGGTGTGTGTGTATTTCCGAAATATAAATAGGATGTGCCTTATGTGAGATAGTTGTATTCTAGCATTTTATACATACATACATACATGCCAAAGACTGCAAAACAACTCTGAATAAATATAATGGAATAAATAATAATAATAATAATAATTTAAAATGAAAATGCATTTATTGCATTCAATGCTTTATTATTATTTCATTATTATATATAATGTATGTTGTTTTATTGTTGTAGTCAAAAAGCACATATATATGTACATGAAATCATTTATATCAGAACTATATAAGAACAGAATCATTATAGGTTCAAGTAATTGTGTGTGTGTGTGTTTTGGGTGTGTGTACCAGTGTGTTTTGTTCTTGCAGCTCCTCTAGATGTTCTATTATTGTATTTTTGGCCTCGGCGTCCTCTAACATCGCTCCAACATCAAACACATTATCCAGATACGCTTGAATCTGCACCTGCAGCCTCTCACTCTCAGTGTCATTTAACTTCTACACACACACACACACAAACGCACACACACACACGCACACACACACACACACACACACGCACACACACACACACACACGCACGCGCACACACACACACACACACACACACAGACACACACACAAAACAATTCAGACTGCGTTTTAGGCAGTAAAAATACAGTAAAACATATTCTGAAATATTTTTACAATTTAAAATGTTTTCTATTTCAATATATTTTAACATTTAATTTATTCCTGTGATGCAAAGCTGAATTTTCAGCATCATTACTCCAGAGCAGCATTAATTTGAAATCTTTTGTAAAGTTATAAATGTCTTAACTGTCACTTTTGATCCGTTCACTGCGACCTTGATGAATAAGTATCAATTTCTTTCTTTCTTTCAAAAGAAGGCATAGTCATGCCAAGCTTTTAAACAGTAGCGAATGTAAGTTGCTCACCTCCAGGTAGCTGTCTAGTCCCAGTTGTGTAAACTCATACTGTAAATATACTCTGAAGTTCATGTTCTCCACTGAGTGCACTGCAATGTTGATAAACTGCATACAAGCCACCTAGAGGTGAAAAAGGGAAAATATGTTGATCAGTTTTCCTCACGCTGATGATCCCAGGTCAGCAAGTATAAACCCTAATGTATGTCCAGAAATCCAATGCATTATGTATGTTATGTATGCATGTGATGTTAATACTGATATAGAAAAATTATTAAAATACATATTTTAATCATATGATTATAAATACATATACACTTTCTGCTTGTCCTAAAGTGTAAAAGTTAAAAGTAAAAGTCAATGTACAAATGGACCATAAATATAGATGTTTGTCATGCTCCTTCGTCCTTTTTGTTGAGCTAAATGCCATACAATTAGTGTGAGAATCTGATAAAACATGAAAATGAATACATAAAGGTTGTCAAATGAAGCATTCTGCGTGTCCTCACCATGAAATCAATGTTGTTGTCTTCATTTCTGAAATATTCCATGAGTTTCTCGAATCTGTTTTTCTCTCCACACACCTGCATGAACATACAGACACATTCACAGGTTTCTCAGAGGGAATTGTTTACTGTACGTGTTTACTGTACGCTGTTTTGGATTAAATTGTCTGTTAGCAAGTACTTGACCATAAAGTAAGAACATTTTACTACATTACGAGACCTTTCAGTGATATTTGATGTCACAGGATCATTTATCATCTGAAAATATGTCATTGGCTTAATATTCAATGCAAAACCTGTATCTAATTATTAGTTCTCGCTACAGGAAGTAAATTTTTATGCAAAGTATGTGCATTCGCAAAAACAATGAGGACATATGGATGGGAAACCCCTAAGCAGATATAGTGTTTTAGCAGTTTGCATATCCCTTTCTGCTGTCACAGATATGCATCACCCACACAAATGTTTTTGTGACAATGAATAAACGCACAGACTTTCAAAATGACGTCCATGTGAATGTGTGAGATTGCAAGCTGATCATGTGTCCTTTGTATGTGTCTTTATAAAGGGAATGATCTAGTTTTGTCATGTCTATCTCTCTCAGTGCAGACGGGTGTAACGGCTGATCTCACAGAGTGAGCTTCAGGTTACTTGAGTTTAACAGCAGATCAGACACTTGTATCTCAATCTCATCACTTGTCTGTGTTCATTCAGCGTCTGAGAGAATAACTAATGGTTTGGGTCTTTGATCCTGGGTCTTTGAATTATGAGTTGCGGGGCAGTCGTGGATTTGCAACTCAAAGGTCGCGGGTTCGAGTCTCGGTAATAACAGGGATTGTATGTGGCGGGAGTGAATGTACAGCGCTCTCTTCCACCCTCAATACCACGACTGAGGTGAGACCCTTGAGCAAGGCACCGAACCCCCAACTGCTGCCCACTGCTCCGGGTGTGTGGGACGGTTAAGCCACACTTAAAAATGTATGCACGTATTGAAGTTTTTTAAAGAATTTAATTTAATTATATTATGCCTTGGTCTATTATATTTAATTATATTTTATTAAAACAAACTTTCTTTTTATTATTTTATAATACATATTTAATATTATAATATTGTAATTTTTAATTATATTTATTATTATAGGTTTCGGTATATTATATTTGATCATATTTTACTAAAACAACCTTTTTCATTTTTATTATTTTATAATAAATATATTTTTTGATTATTATTTTTAATTATAATATCAACTTTTTTCTTTCTATTATTTTTTTATAACACATTTAAAATCATAAAATCTTTTCCTTTTCTTTTTTATTATTATTTTTGATTATATTCTGTTTTGGTGTATCATATTAGATTTTATTTTACTAAAACAAACATTTTTCTTTTTATCATGTTTATAATAAATATTTTGTATTATAATATTTTATTATATTATGTTTGGGTATATTTTATAATATTTTATTAAGACAAACGTTTTAGTGTTTTTATAATACATATTTAATATTATAATATTTTTGTCTTTTTGTTCTTTTTATAGTTGTTTTGATTATGTTATGTTAATTTACAGTGTTGAATTATGCACAATAAGACAATGGAGGTGGTGATGATGGTGAGATGGACAGACGGAGAAAGAAGGATAGTATTTTCTCACCTCTTTGAAATTATTAAAGGCTGCAATAATCATTTCATGACCTCCTCGAACCAAACACACTGCAGCAAGGAGCTCCAGAACCAGAGCTTTAGTCCTAAACACAAACACACAGGTATGTACTGTATGTACAATAGTGTAGAAACAAAAGATTTAAAACACACACACACACACACACACACACACGTAATGTCCTCTCACCTGGCACTCTTGTTGTTGAGACTCAGGGTGATTTCATTGACACAGCTGGGATGAGCCATCACCTGATTAAACCCTAACTAACACACACACACACACACGCATTAGTCAAGAGATGAGACGAGACGAGATGAGAGTGAGATGAGAAGTACCTGGTAGTTCATTATGGCACGGAGGCACATAATGCAGAGGTGCAGGTGGTTCTTCTGGCTGAGCAGAGACGAGTATCGCAGAGCTTTCCTGAGCAAAAGAAGTCATGTTAAATATATTAAATATTATAATATTTTTTCATATTAATTTTTTTTATTTAAATGCTATTTACATTTACATGTATAGTAAATTCTTAAATCTTCATGAGGAAATAAATTATTCCGTTTAAATACGAAAAAGTCAAAGTCAGAAACAAATTAATTAAAAGCAGAACTATGTTTTTGTGTAATCTGCCACATCTGGAAATCTCAAAATCATTAAAAGTAAAAGTACTGTATGTGACACAGACGCACACAAACAAACTCTCTGAAACAGGAATGCAGTTGATCCTGATAGAAGTGTTTGGATGGGTGGGTGTGTGTGTGTGTGTTTGCGTTTGATCGCTTGTTTTGATCTAAAAAAAAATGCATTGCAGACATACTTGATGACACTCATGATAGTACAGTAAGAGAGTTTAGCACGTGTGCATGCTGATCTCATGTTGAGCGAACGAAAGCTTTTATGAATAAATCATAATTCATCAGTAACTTCTGTACTAAAATAGATTCTAAATGAACAAAAAATGCCAGAACTGAAACCACACATGTGAAAATAACTCTTATAGACATGTTACATTTGATAAATAACTAATACATGAAATAAAAATTAATTAATTAATTAATTATTAACGACTATGTTATTTAGTGCTCTGAAACACAACTTCACAACCATGACATGCAGATCTAAAAATCGCTTGAATAAGAAACGAGATGTATTATTCATCATGTCAGAGCGGTTTAATATACATGACTGACCTTGTGGTGAAGGGGCGTCCTGAGCGTGGGGAATTGTGGGTAGGGGAGTTTGTCGCACTGGTGGTCAAATCTTCCACAGATTTCTCATCAAAGCTTCCATTTTCAGAGCTGTCCATGTCATATCTGTAAAAACACAGCATGTTAATTAAACAGCACAACTGTTTTCAACACTGATAATAATAAGACATGTTTCTTGAGCAGCAAATCAGCATGTTAGAATGATTTCTGAAGGATCATGTGACACTGAAGACTGGAGTAATGATGCTGAAAATTCAACTTTGCATCACAGGAATAAATTACATTTTAAAATATATTCAAATAGACAACAGATATTTTAAATTGTAATAATATTTCACTATATTACTGTTTTTATTGTATTTTAGTACAAATAAATACAGGTTTGGTGAGCATATTCTTTTAAAAACTGCTACTTTTTAAAGCAGTTTGACCACCATACAGTGTTGCTTTGTTCGGTAAAGTTTGTTTGTTGCTCAGACTAGTGAATATAATAGCAGTGTTAGCTAACTGGCATCAGAGGGCTGGTTTCAGGCACTGGATGGTCAGAGAACGTCCTCTTCCCAGATGCCTTGTCACATTAAGAATTTAGGTTTCTCTATTGTGTCTTGGACAATGTGTGTGTGTGTGTGTGTGTGTGTGTATACATACGTTCTCTTCCCAGACGCCTTGTCACATTAAGAATTTAGGTTTCTCTATTGTGTCTTGGACAATGTGTGTGTGTGTGTGTATACATACGTGACTCCTCGTTGAGAAAAAGAGAGGTAGTCCACTAGCATATCTAAACCTTTGTTTTCTTCATTTAGAAACTCCTCAGCCCACCTGAACATACAGAGAGAACAATACAATGAAGAATAAAAGAAGCACAAGTAAGATAAATTATGAGTGACAGATTCATTACAATCCAGTGTCGACACAGACACACACAGCTGCAGGTTTCTAATGGAATATTTCAGAAACCTGCTTTTAAAGGAACAGTTCTCCCAAAAATGTACATTTGTTGAAAATTTCCTCACCCTCAGCCCATCCAAGATGTAGATGAGTTTTTTCTTCATGGGAACAGCTTTGGAGAAATTTACATCACTTGCGCACCAATGGATCCTCTGCAGTGAATGGGTGCCGTCAGAATGAGAGTAAAAAAAAAATGCTAAAAACATCCCAATAATCCACACCACACCAGGCCATCAATTAACATCTTGTGAAGCGAAAAGCTGCGTGTTTGAAAGGAACAAATCCTTGCTTCACAAGATGTTAATTGATGGACTGGAGTGGTGTGGATTATTGGGATGTTTTTAGCATTTTTTTTTTTACTCTCATTCTGACGGCACCCATTCACTGCTGAAGGTCCATTGGTGAGCAAGTGATGATGCGAAATTTCTCCAAATCTGTTCTGATGAAGAAACAAACTCTACATCTACATCTTGGATGGCCTGAGGGTGAATAGATTTTCAGTTAATTTTCATTTTTAGTTGAACTATTCCTTTAACATGTGAAACTTTAATGTTAAAAAAGTGGTAAAAAGTATCTGTTCATTTATAATGTAATCAGGCCAGTAACATGCATATCAATAACACTGCATGTCATGTGATGGCTCTTACCCGATGTGATTGGTGCGCAAAGAGATTTCCAGCTCTCTCAGAACTTGTGTGGATTCTTGGACTCTCCTCTTAAACTACAAATCACACACATATAATTTTATTAATTAAAATCACTCACATATTCCAGTTTGATTGATTATAACTGGACGAGTTCTATATCTCGCTCTCAGATTTATTGACATATACACAAACTCCAACACATATCTACCTTTCTGCCTCCTCCCTGCTCTAATAAACTCTTAAGTTTCTGAATGTACGCTGATGGAGGATTCTTCACCTGAAACCGCTCCTGAGAAGAGAAACAAGAAGTTGGTATTCACATGTGTGCATCAAAAAGTTTCAACTATTTTTTATAACCATTTTCCACCCTCATGATCATTATTGTTACTGTACCTTTAAGACTTTGACGTGTGAATGACCCCTGCTTGCTAATCGATTGGTGAATATTTATTTATTTAATTATTCATTTATTTATTTTTTATTTATGGTCATATGGTAATGACGTCATATTTGTGACATCAAAACCATTATTATTTCTTAACCATTTAGTTTCAATGAATGCACTGGGTGCACTTGAGGGGAAGTTTTTAGTTTTTAAAGAGCAAGGACAATTGTGTTTTTCATTTTGAAGGTGTGTTAATATGTCGTTTGGGTAGTAAAGACTGCTTTATGGTAAATGAATGTGTAAAAAGTGAACGTTTTTATGTTTTAGCTCTGAACTCACCTGGTCACAAACTAACTCCCATTTCTTCTCATTGTCATACTGACAGAGCAGCTTCACTTTATCAGGTGGAAGATTCATGGAATTCTACAAGCACAGAGCAAGAGACAAATCATAAACCTTTTTGTAAGTCTGAATTCATTTATATTAATTCTACAGAGCCATTAGCTCTATTCCACTAGAGCTAATGAGGCAAACTTTTAAAAATGTTTTTTGGGTTTGGGAGCACCTTTGGGTTCAGCAAAGAACTTTATTGAGAACCATTTTTCATGGTCGAGTTTTTTAGAGAGTAAAAGTGATATTTCATTAAACACTGCCTTTCAAATGTTTGGGGTCGGTAATATTTTTTCATGTTTTTGAAAGAAGGCTTCATTTGTTTGATCAAAATACAGTAAAAAATTTCACAATATTGTGAAATATTATTACGATCTCAAATAGCTGATACCAAACTTTAGAACAGTAGTATAGGTTCCTCAGATCAGCTTATCGATTTCTGGGTGCCAGTCACACCAGTACAAAGATGGGTTGCTAATAAAACAGATAATAAAAAGTACTTTGTAGAACTTAAAAAGTCTCTCTTTTGTATTTAAGTATTAGTTGATGGTGCTTCCTACTTTTCACAGATTTATGCCTGGCGGATGATAACAAGGGCAAAAAAAAAAAATCCCATTGAATTACAATGAAGGAGGAAAAAAGCCAGGTGACCTAGAAACACCCTAGCAACCACCCAAATCCCCTTGGCAACCACATAGCAACGTCCTGCCAACCACCCACAGCACCCAAACATCTCAGTGGCAAGTTTTGCACAGCCCACATTTTCTTCAGATCTAGTTGTAATTTGTTCCCAGACTATTGCAGTGTTTAAATGCAGAGTTACTGAGGCACCAGTCACACATTACACTTGTTTGCAGATGGTCACATATGAACTGATGAGTAAGTGAGCCAGTTACTGTGTCTTGTGAGCCAGATTACGAGCAGCGGACAGATCACATGTATAATAAGGTATGCTGACTCTAAGAATGCCCTTTCTGAACCGGCAGATTAGTGCTGTGTGAATGTCCTGTTGCTATGACGATCTCCTAAATTATTTATGAACAGCATGAGTGTTTGCATTTGAGCACACACACACACACACACACTGTTATGGCCCTACAGAATTACTTCATCAGTGACTCAGCAGACAGTGAGCATCAGATGATACTGCACACACACACACACACACACACAAACACACAGAGTGTGTGTGCAAGCTGTGTCTAAATCCCCTAAAACATTATGAAAATCATCTTCAAGGTCGTCCTCCATTGTCTTATGCTTGCCAAGGCTGCATTTATTTGATCAAAAATACAGTAAACACAGTAATATTGTGAAATAATATTTCAATTTAAAATAACTGTTTTCAAATTTAGTATATGTTAAAATGTAATTTATTCCTGTGATCAAAACTGTATTTTCAGCATCATTACTCCAGACTTCAGTGTCACATGATCCTTCAGAAATCATTCTAATATGCTGCTTTGCTGCTCAAGAAACATTTTATCAATGTTAAAACAGTTTTTGCTGCTTAATATTTTGTGGATACATTTTTTTTAGGATTCTCTGATGAATAGAAAGTTCGAAAGCATAGCATTTTAAATAGAAATCTTTTGTAACAGATGTCACTTTTAATCAATTGAATGCTTAATAAAAGTATTAATTTCTGGTGTGGTAATAGATCTCTCACACAATTCGAGTTCATTCATGATCATTCATGGATGAGTTAGATGCTCAAGTGGTTTGTTCAAATCTCTAACTATGAGCAACATTAAGCAAACGCCACTGATTAAATCTCTATTCTGATTACATTTCTATTCATCATAGAAACCTGAATCCTCACAGTTTCCACAAAAATATAAAGCAGCACAACTGTTTTCATCATTGATAATAATCAGAACTGTTTCTTGAGCAGCAAAGCAGCATATTAGAATGATTTCTGAAGATCATGTGACACTGAAGACTGGAGTTATGATGCTGAAAATTCAGCTTTGCATCACAGAATAAATTGCATTTTACAATGTATTCAACTACAAAACAGTTATTTTACATTGTAATAATATTTCACAATTTTACAGTTTTTACTGTATTTCTGATCAAATAAATGCAGCCTTAGTGAGCAGAAAATATTTTAAAAATCTAACTGAACCCAGAATATTGAGGGGTAGTGTATGTGACATGTAAAAGTTACATCCAGGACATCATGTTTGACTATTGCTGTCATTTCATTTTTGCGCATATTGAATTAGTTCTTCGCTAAGCACGGCATATTAGCATGTCACTGTGTCCCAATTAGCAAAACAGGTCAATGGGAGAAAAAAACAGCAATCTGCAGAAATATTGCTTTAGGACACACACACACACACACACACCACACACACACACACACACACAGAGAGAGACAGACAGTCTCTCTCAAACAGTCTTTCTTTATGGAAAGTCTGCAGTGCAGACAACTTCACTGATTATTATCAAGCTTATAATTGCCGGGTTGCATCTGTCGTATAAACAGTGTTATCTTTGCTTGTTTTAATTCAGATCTCATAGTTTCTTTTGTCTTTATAATAGTTGACCTTTTCTACCTGTGAAATGAGGACAAGGAGGCTGGAGAAAAATAGAATCAAGGACAAAACACTTCCAACTCTTCAACCATCACTGACTGCTTTATATTTCTCTCCTTTCTGAATGTATTGTCTGCCCTTTGCTTGTTCTTTCCTTGTCCTTTTTTTTACATGTTCTTCTATCCTTGAAAACAGTTAAACAGTTTTCAGGACAAGGTCAGCTAACATAACTTCATCACGTATTATTCTGAATCCTGAAGTACTCAAATGCTTATATGTGAGTATGTACACAGATAATTTATGCATCAATGGTTAATGCAGCAATGCAGAATATACTGCGGTACACATGCACATTCAGAGCTGTCATTCAACCATCACTGACTGCTTTATATTTCTCTCCTTTCTGAATGTATTGTCTGCCCTTTGCTTGTTCTTTCTTTGTCCTTTTTTTTTTACATGTTCTTCTATCCCTGAAAACAGTTAAACAGTTTTCAGGACAAGGTCAGCTAACATAACTTCATCACGTATTATTCTGAATCCTGAAGTACTCAAATGCTTATATGTGAGTATGTACACAGATAATTTATGCATCAATGGTTAATGCAGCAATGCAGAATATACTGCGGTACACATGCACATTCAGAGCTGTCATATTACTTTACCTTCAGCAGAATTACGCTAGAAGAATATACTGTTTTCGGCTTATCATATTTGCATGAGTTTTTTGTATATTTGTAAGCCGAATCAGGTACTTTTTATAATCACCTCATGGATTTTGTAATATATTTATTCAATGAAAAATTAAGCTTTATATTTTTAAGACACTTTAATCAAAGATGTTTATTAAAGCCCATATGATTTTTTTCTTTCTTTCATGGGTCACAAAAGAAGATATTTATGACTTATAAGATATTTAAGAAGGTCCAAGTTGCTATTTTCCACAAAGATGACTAATCAAGGAGGATTTTCAGCAAATAATGACTTAAATTTCAGTCTGTTTCTCAAACAAAGCTATTGTAGCCATGAAAAATACAGTGCATATGAACTACTTTAATGAAGCATTAATAATTCTTTTTGTCCTTTTTTGGAGTTTGACAGACCCTGATCACTATTTACTTTAATTGTACATTCAGAAAGAAGGTCATATGAGTTTGGAAGGGTCACTAAATGACAGAATTTAAATTTTTGGATTAATTACTACTTTAAAGTAGTTCAGAAAAGTAGTTACACAGTCACACACTCATCATTCATCGTTAGGGTTACCTAAAACTAAAACTGAAATTATTCAGTAATAAAATATAACCATTAAAAAAAAAAGGTTTTTGTTCCTTAAAATAAAATAAACATTAACTGAAATAAAAGATATATAAAAATTATTTCAGCCAGGTGTCAAGGCAACATTTCTCATTTTAACTTAGTTGAACATGATGTACTAGAATAACTAAAACTAAAGCTGAAAAATTAATGAACAAAAACTACTACTAACTAACAGAACTACTAAAAATGACAAAAATAACAAAATTACTAAAATTTTAACTATAATTAAAATGAAAAAGGAAAATATAAAAATAAAACAGATTCAAAATTTTAATAAAAACTATAATAGTATCTCAATAATAATAAAATAACTGCACATCGTAAATAAGATGCAGATGATGTAGCTAAATCACATAAAAACATGTCTAATTTCATAATTTTACACCTCTTAAGAGCTCAGCTTGATGTTTTCTTATACTGTTATTGTTTTCAACCATCAGACAGTTTTTATGACTCATTTTTTGCAGTAAAGTATATTGAAATACATTCAGAGCTGACTTTAATTCATTGTATCTAATAGATTTTTGTCTTGAGTGTTTCTAGATCAGTTGAAGGCTGGACTACTGCTGAAGATGGATGGTTTGTCCTTTCGGTAAGTGGCCACATGCAAAATATCAATAACTGAATGGGCCATTTGTATAATTACAGGCCTGTCGTTTTTGCAGATGTTTTGCACTCCTCCCCTTGTCAAGGTGATGTAGAAAGCATCAGCTTGAGTGTTTTAAATGCTAAAACACATGCATGTGTGAACAAGGACAGAATTATTGTTCTTATATACATAAATTCAGCCTCACAAAGAAGAGAATGCAGAATTCTCAGTAAATGTGTATTTGCATGAATTCGCGTGTGTATATGCCCACTTGATTATTGTTTATCCAGTTTTTAATTTAATAATTCTTATAACTTTTACTAAATAAGCTCCCAGGTAATTGCACTGAAGCTTTGTGTTGCAATATTTACATTTTGTACCCGACTAGGTTTGCTTGAGTGATTGCTATTTTAATTGTGTGTTTTATCACGAACACGCTGCTGGTGCTGCGTGCATTATTTGCATTCTATTTCCATTATACAAACAGCATGTCACAAACTCTCTCTTTCTCCGTAGGCATTGTAGATGGTTTCTGGATAAAATGAGACTGTTTGAGTTTATGGAGGGGCTGCACGTGCACTTTAATACTTGTTCGTAGATTAGATGGCCTTTCACTGCTGTATGATGGGAAAGTGTGGAGTGCTTATCTGATTTAGGAACAGCATCAAGGATATTGGCAGAGTAAATTAATTAACATGGAATAAATTACAGCTGGCTTTACTAACACACACTAGAGCCAGACGCATTTAAGTTATATAAAGAGTAAAACACTGGCTAAATATTAATTTTAAACACAGGTACTTGTGGAATGTGGGCAGGTGCATGTGGACTGTTGGATTTGAACTTTTTAGATTGGAAACTGCCATGTAAAATACTCTACTGTGAATCTGGTTCAGAGTTTCCATGAATTAGATTAACTAGTTGATATGTAGGTTATTCCAGGCCTTAACTATAACCGGCCAGCCATATGGACAAATTTAAAGGAATAGTTCACCCAATAATGAAATTTAGCTGAAAATGTACTCACCCTCAGGCCATCCAAAATGTAGATGAGTTTTTGTTTTTTGTTTTTTTCATCAAAACAGATTTGGAGAAATGTAGCATTGCATCACTTGTTCACCAATGGATGCTCTGCAGTGAATGGGTGCCGTCAGAATGAGAGTCCAAACAGCTGATAAAAACATCACAAGTAATCCACACCACTCCAGTCCATCAGTTAACATCTTGAGAAGTGAAAAGCTGCGTGTTTGTAAGAAGTAAATACATCATTAAGACGTTTTAACTTTAAACTGCCGCTTCTGGGCAAAAAACAAGTCCATAATCCATTGAAAAAGTCCATCCCTTGTTGTCTTCTCACATAAAAACCCACCAACATATTTGTCTAGATCTGTTTTGGACTGTTTTTGCATGTAAACTGTGCTTGATCTGTGCATATTTCTCTCCTGATTCACACAAGGCAACTCTTTCACTGCAGGAAGCGTTATTAGGGATTATGGACTTGTATTTTAGCCGGAAGCAGTGACTTGAAGTTAAAAACTTCTTAATTATGGATTGTTTCTTACAAACACGCAGCTTTTCACTTCCCAAGGCGTTAACTGATGGACTGGAGTGGTGTGGATTACTTGTGATGTTTTTATCAGCTTTTTGGACTCTCATTCTGACGGCACCCATTCACTGCAGAGGACTCAGAGCAAGTGATGTAAAGCTAAATTTCTCCAAATCTGTTTTTTGGAGTTTGACAGACCCTGATTACCATTTATGTTCATTGTATGTAAAGAAAGAAAGTCATACCAGTTTGGAATGGTGTAACAGTGAATAAATGACAGAACTGTAATCTTTGGATTAACTACTTTAAACTACTACTTTAAAGTAAACCCCCAAACTCACATACTGTGCACTCATAATAAATGAGATGCAGACGATACAAGTAGATAAAGCACATGAAATACACCTAATGATGCATTAAACTCTCCCAACTGTACAATTACAGTCTCACTGCTGCATAACACTCATACTCGGGGAGATTTTGCAGATTTCACAACCACGCGTATGAATGCAATTACCTCAGTACACATTCCATCACAGTCTACAACCTAACGTGGTACAACTAGCTGTATTATGTCATTCAAACAGGCTGTGCGGTTTCAATTTCCAGTCATATGAAAGTCCTATCTGTGTTCATTTGATAATAACCTTTGCTGTTGAATGCAAAGAGATGCATATCATGGTGCATTTGTAGTTAATGCAGTGGCACATTACACACATACTGTACTTGAACATGCTGTTTTTCTATGTTCAATCAGCAAAACACTTTAACAAAAAGGAAATGACATTTTAAAGCTGAACCCCCCTTTTAGTCTATGAAATTATGGGATATGTCATGTACATACCAACACAATGTTGAACCTCTGCTCTAATTCCTCCTCTGGTGGTAGGGGCAGTTTAGGGGCCGGTGGCTGTTTCTGCCCATATGTGCTGAGGGGCCGTTTGACGTCCCGTCCGGGTGACATCTCCAGACTTCCAGCTGCGTTCCCCATGGCTGTATACGGAGTTGCACGCAGAGGTACACATATACAGTCCAGATAATATAAGTCTCGCTCAATGGAGTTCTACAACTTGCTGACTGATTCGAAACACTTCTATGTGTTCTTGTTTAGTCCCAGTGTAGCAGGTCAAACGGTGGGACTTTTTGAAAACACAGATAAAATCCAGCTTGAATCTTACAGAATTTGGTTCTGTTAAAAAGTCCATAAAAGATTGTTTTTTTTTTACATAGTTGCTGACATATTCAGGTTCTTCCAAGTCTTCTGTCTATTTGCAGTAGGCAAAACCTATAACTTGTGTATACAGAAAGAAAAATGACGCCAGTAGGCAAGGCTGTTGTCTATTCTGATGTCTCTTGGTCGTCTTCTGGTCTCTGCGACATCTCTCTGCTCCATCCTGGAGTGAGTAGTTCAGGTAGGGAGGAGAGGGGTGAGTGATATGAGAGAGGAGGCAGGGACTGGGAAGCTTCTGGGTCCTAGTGCTGGAGCTGTAGATTCTCATCAGTGTGTGTATCTTATATGAACACCTGATACTGACTCGGGTGTCCACCTACAACCACGGTCTCATTCTGGGTCCTAGTGCTGGAGCTGTAGATTCTCATCAGTGTGTGTATCTTATATGAACACCTGATACTGACTCGGATGTCCACCTACAACCACGGTCTCATGTTACTTGTTGGTGTGTGTTGCTAGGATGCTAAAGACTAACAAATAACACCACACACACTCTTTCTGAATGACTTCAGACTTTTGCGAACAGTTGTAACTGCGAATCTATAGTGCCACAAAAGTGCTCATTTAAAAAAATAATAATATATACAAATAAATTATTTTATATATATTTATCTTTATAATAAGAATTATTTGGGTTTGGGGTTGATAAGATTTTTTTAAATATATTTTTTAAAATAATAAGTCTCTTATGTGCAACAAAACAGTAATATAATGAAATATTATCACAATTTCAAATAACTTCTTTCTATTTGAATATATTTTAAAATGTAATTTATTCCTGTGATGTAAAGCTGAATTTTCAGCGTCTTCAGTGTCACACAATCCTTCAAAAATCATTCTAATATGCTGATTTTATTTTATTTTATTTGTTTAAAGTAATAATATAAAAGTCTTTAATGTCAGTTTTGGTCAATTTGATATGTCTTTGCTTAATTAAAGTATTATTTTCTTAAGATAACTTACTGAGTCCAAACTTTTTAAATGTGTTATATTTATATATATATATATATATATATATATATATATATATAAGTAAATAATATA